GATATTGACTGAAAGGCAGTTCTAATACAGGTAAAGGGGATTGATTGTTTTTCACTCCACATTAGTGCTTTATGGTACCTATTTTGGTTCTTTGTTGGAAATTGCAATACAAGTGTTGCCCTTAAATTCTTCATTTACCTTAGTATTGATGTCTGACCACATATTAATGTTCTCCACTGCCTGAGACACCTCGTCTACCTGTCCCCACCATATTCTTCTATTCTGCCTCCCCATTCCTGTCCTCTTCCTCTCACCTTTCTTTCCATCTCTTTGTCCTTTTAAGCCTATTTCCCACCTACCCCTCTCTTCTTCCCTCTTTTTTCTTCTTTTCCTTCTTTCTTGATTTTAGGAAAAAGGGGAATCCTTTTCTATCTGGGTTCTGTCCTTTTCTGAATCCATTTGCCATTCAAAGCTTGTTTGCAGACAAGGGATTCTCTGGAGTGTTCCATAAAGTTTCCCTGAACAGGGTCCCCTCTGTTCTGAAAACTGCTCAGCATCATGGAGTGGTCACTCTGATCTTGTGAGCCCCTTGGGAGGCAGTGAGCATGCAGTGGTTATGAGCATGGAGCCAGAAAGCTTGGGTTTTGGTGACTGTTTACCACTTGTGAGATGTGTGATCGGGGGCATGTTATTCAGCCTCTCTCTAAGCCTCCGTTTGTCCACCAGTAAAATGGAAATAATAATAGCGTTTATCTCATAGGATGGATGCTCAGCATGTAGTAAGTATCCAATATATTTTAACAATTACTCTAATGTGATATATCTTTGATACAAGACTCTTTTCTTCAAAGAACAACCTAGACATGACATTACGATAAAGTGGCCTATCAGAAATTACAGATTTTCTACTCAAGCTATTTCAGAGCACAGAAATGGAAGGAATACTCCCAAATTCATTTTATGAAGCCAGCATAACCCTGATACCAAAAGCCAGGCAAAGACATTACAAATAAAGAAAATTACAGACCAGTATCTCTCATGAATATAGATGCAAAAATTCTCAACAAAATCCTAGCCAATAGAATTCAGCATCATATAAAAAAATAATAATAATACACCACAACCAGGTGGGACTCATACCAGGTATGCAAGGATGGTTCAACATTAGAAAATCAATAATTTAATCTACCACATAAATAGAACAAAAGAAAAGAATTACTTAACCATCTCAATCAATGCAGAAAAGGCATTTTATAAAGTCCAACAACATTCCTGATAAAAACTCTCAATAAAATAGAAGGGAAATTCCTCAGCATAATAAAGGGCATCTATACACAACCACCAGCTAACATCATTCTCAACAGAGAGACTGAAAGCATTCCCCCTATTTAACACTGTGCTGGAAGTCATAGCTAGAGCAATAAGGCAAGAAAAAGAAATAAAGGGCATCCAGATTGGAAAGAAAGAAGTAAAACTATCCCTATTCGCAGATGATATGATACTATACATAGAGAACCCCAAAGATTCCACAAGAAAACTACTGGAACTAATAGAAAGATTCAGCAGATGTGGGGACCGTGGTCTCAGGGAACATCTAGCTCAATTGGCATAACATAGTTTATAAAGAAAGTGTTCTACATTCTACTTTGTTGAGTAGCGTCTGGGGTCTTAAAAGCCTGTGAGTGGCCATCTAAGATACTCCACTGGTCTCACCCCTTCGGGAGCAAGGGAGAATGAAGGAAACCAAAGATACAAGGGAAAGATTGGTCCAAAGGAATAATGGACCACAACTACCACGGCCTCCGCCAGACTGAGTCCAGTACAGCTAGATGGTGTCCAGCTACCACCACTGAACTGCTCTGACCAGGATCACAAGAGAGGGTCCTGAACAGAGGTAGAAAAGGACGTAGAACAAAATTCTCACTCACAAAAAAAGACCAGATTTACTGGCCTGACAGAGACTGGAGAAACCCCGAGAGTATGGCCCCCGGGCATCCTTTTAGCTCAGTAATGAAGTCACTCCTGAGGTTCACCCTTCATCCAAAGATTAAACAGGCCCATAAAACAAAAAGAGACTAAAGGGGCACACCAGCCCAGGAGCAAGGACTAGAAGGCAGAAGGGGACAGGAAAACTGGTAATAGGGAACCCTAGGTCGAGAAGGGAGAGTGTTGACATGTCGTGGGGTTGTTAACTAATGTCATAAAATAATATGTGTACTAACTGTTTAATGAGAAGCTAGTTTGTTCTGTAAACCTTCATCTAAAGTACAATAAAAAAAAAAGAGTAGCAGGAAACAACATCAGCATGCAAAAATCAGTTAGATTCCTATATATCAACAAAGAGAACTTCAAAAAGGAAATCAGGAAAGCAATACCATTTATAATAGCCCTTAAAAGATACAATACTTAGGAATAAATCTAACCAGGGACATAAAAGGCCTGTACAAAGAAAATTACAAAACACTACTGCAAGAAACCAAAAGAGACCCACATAAACAGAAACACATACCATGCTCATGGATAGAAGAATCAACATTGTGAAAATGTCGATTCTGCCCAAAGCAATCTACAGATAAAATGTCATCCTGACCAAATACCAACAGCATTCTTTAATGAGATAGAAAAACTAATCACCAACTTTATATGGAAAAGAAAGGGGCCCTGGATAAACAAAGCGTTATTGAAGAAAAAGAACAAAGTAGAAGGCCTCATACTACCTGATCTCAGAACCTACTATACAGCCACGGTAGTCAAAACAACTTGGTACTGGTACGACAAAAGACACACTAATCAATGAAACAGAATCAAGAACCCAGATGTAAATCCATCCACCTATGGTCAGCTGATCTTTGACAGACTGAAGTCCATTAAATGGGGGAAAGACAGTCTTTTTAACAAATGGTACTGACATAACTGGATGTCCATCTGTGAAAAAATGAAACAGGACCCATACCTCACACCATACACAAAAACTAACTCAAAATGGATCAAAGACCTAAATATAAAACCTAAAATGAAAAAGATCATGGAAGAAAAAATAGGGACAATGCTAGGGGCCCTAATACATGGCATGTATACAATACAAACCATACTAACATGCACAAACACCAGAAGATAAACTAGATAACTGGGAGCTCATAAAAATGTAACACTTATGCTTATCAAAAGACTTCACCAAAAGAGTAAGAGAACCTACAGACTGAGAAAAACTTTTTTGGCTATGACATATCTGACAAGGGCCTAATTTCTAAATTTTATAAAATACTTCAACACATCAACTACAAAAAGACAAATAATCCAATTAAAAAAATGGGCAAAGAATTCTTCGGCAGACATGTCACCAAAGAAGACATTCAAGCAGCTAACAGACACGTGAGGAAATGCTCAGATCATTATTAGCATTAGAGAAATGCAAATCAAAACTACAATGAGATACCATCTCACCCCGACATTACTTGCAGTAATAAAATAAAAAAATAACAAATGTTGGAGAGGTTGGTGGGAGATTCGTATTCTTATGCACTAATGATGGGAATGTAAAATGGCACAACCACTATGGAAAATGATATGGCTCCTCCTTAAAAAGCTAGCAATAGAAATACTATACAATCCAGCAGTCCTACTCCTAGGAATATATCCTAGAGAAATAAGCTGTTGTGTGAATAGATATATGCACACCTGTGTTCATTGCAGCATTATTCACAACAGCAAAAAGATGGAAACAACCTAGATGCCCATCAACAGATGAATGGATAAACAAACTAGTATATACACACAGTGGAATACTATGCAACAGTAAAAAGCAATGATGAATCTGTGAAACATCTCACAACATGGATGAATCTGGAGGGTGTTATGCTGAGTGAAATAAGCCAATCACAAAAGGACAAATGTATGAGACCAGTATTATCAAAACTCAAGAAAAGGTTTACACACAGAAAAAAAATTCTTTGATGGTTGCGAGGGAGGGAAGGGATGGAGAGGGGAAATCACTAACTAGAGAGTAGATGTGTTAATTCTGGTGAAGAGGAATATAGGGAAAGTAAGCACAACTTGACCAAGGCAAAGTCATAGAAGTTTCCTAGACGACATCCAAACACCTTGAAGGGCCAAGTTATTCAGTCTGAGGGCTGGGGACCATAGTCTCGGAAGACAGCTTGGTCAATTGGCATAACATAGCCATAAAATGTTCTACATGCAACTTTGATGAGTAGCATCTGGGGTCTTGAATGCTTGCCAGAGGCCATCTAAGATACATCTACTGGTCCCATCCTATCTAGAGCAAAGGAGAATGGAAAAAAACCAAAGACACAAGGAAAATATTCATCCAAAGGACTAACAGACCACGTGAACCACATCCTCCACCAGCTTGAGCCCAGAAGAACTAGATGGTGCCCGACTGCCACCACCTATGGCTCTGACAGGGATTACAATAGAGTGTCCCAGACAGAGTGGGAGAAAAATGTGAAACAAGATCCAAATTCACAAAAGAAGGCCAGACTTACTGGTCTGACAGAGACTGGAGGAACTCCCGAGACTATGGCCCCTGGACACCCTGCTAACAGAAGTGAAGCCACTCCCGAAGTGCACCTTTCAGTTGAAGATTAGACAGGCCTATAGAAGAAATAATAACACGTGTGAGGAACGTGTTTCTTAGTTCAACTACATGAGACCAAATGGGCAACACCTGCCCAAAAGCAAAGACGAGAAGGCAGGAAGGGACAGGAAAACTGGATGAATGGACATGGGGAACCCAGGGTAGAAAGGGGGAGAGTGCTGACACATTGAGGGGATTGCAACCAATGTCACAAAACAATTTATGTATACATTTTTGAATGACAAACTAATTTGTGCTGTAAACTTTAACCTAAAGGACAATTATTTTTTTTTTAAATTACTTTTTTTTCACCTCATCTAATGGTCTGGATTTAAAAGCCTGGTTGTGTCAAGATGAATTCTATGCAGAGGTCAATTAATGACTGACCTTGGACAACTTACCAGTGTTGCCAACAAATGGACAGTGGATTTGGCTAATTTGCTATTTGTTACTCATGTTGCAGGTATTGTATGATGCTTCTGGGGTTCTTGAGAAGAACAGAGACACTCTCCCTGCTGATGTGGTTGTAGTCTTGAGAACATCAAAAAACAAGCTTCTTCAGCAACTCTTCTCAATCCCTTTGACCAAAACAGGTACTTGAAAACCACTGATAGCCCTGGTCATGCTGCTTCTGCAAGCCCAAGTGGGGTTTTCCAATTAGAATCTAAATATTGCCAGGGCTGTGCTAGTAACATTTTGAACTTCTTTAAGCAGGAGTAAGGGTCCTTCCAGTTAAATTCAAGGAAAGCAGCTTTAGAAAGTGGTTGTTTCTTTTTTAGCTTAATTGCATAATGTCAGTTTATATACACATGTGTACACACACACACTTTCCATAACATCACCTCTTGGACTTCTCACTTTCTCTGCCTGCTTCTTTTCATTCTTCCGTTTATATAAAACCATCTGTTATTATTAATTCATGTTAAGCAGTCTAGAGTGGTTTCAGTTTACCTAGATATACTGGGAAGATGGTTTCTATTGATGTATGATTCCAAGTGAAGGCAGTGTGGTAAATCAAAAGCTCATCCAACTATAGGCTCTTCAGAGGTCACCTGGTCCAACTTCCCAGTTGGTTCTTAACACCCCCCACCCCCCATTCTCCTAATCATCTTGGGACAAGGGCTTCAAACTGGTTTCTTCCACCCCAGATAGACTGAATTAGAATCTACATTTTAATAAGATCCCCAGGTGATACTTATGTATAACTTCCTGGAAACTTGTTAGAAATGCAGATTCTCAGCAGAGAACATGTTAGAAATGCACCTTCTCAGCTGGGGTTTGAACCAGAACAAACTGGTTCGATGTCCTGCTTGGAACATGTCTTTCTACTTAATGTTAGCTTTTTTTAAGTCATTCAGTTAGTCCTCATGCCAGAAAGCGGTGAACAGGGGCCAAAGAACAGAACTTCCAGGTCTTTGCTGGTTTGCCAACTGGATTCTAATTGGGCCAAATTCCTTTGATTTATCTGGGATTCTGCTGCCTTTGGTTGGGCAGCCAACTCAGTCCTCTCACAGCTCTGTTCTCAAGGGCTGTGTGCTTTTGAGGCTATGTCTGGAAACAGCTGTGGATATGCTTTTGAGAAAGGTGCAGAGAAACCTCCTTATCATTGTTCATAATTTCCTCTTCTTTTCTTCCCAAATCCCTCTTGAAATCATTGGCACCCATGTCTCGCGTGGGGCCTTTGCATCCTAAAAGATAGTGGCTACCAGATCTGATTTTTTAGCAACTTGCAGAAGAATGAAAAACTTGGCTAAGAAAAAAAGCCCCAGTTCATCATAACTGGGAAGGAAAGTTGAAACCAGGCTTTTTGTAGAAAGCTGCTCCTGTAAACAAATACAGTAAGGTGCCCATCAGAAGGTTGCCCTCCATCTTCCTCTCCAGACCTTTCTTGCAGACAGCCAGGATATAATTCATTATCGCTCCAGGAGGAGTGGAGGGCTGGGGGCTTGTTCGGAACTGGTGCTTCCTTATCAGAGACTCGTCATCAGATGGTTTCTGCACAGAGGAGAAGACATAGCCATTAACAGGGAATGTGTAAGATGCTCTTTGAACTAATGTCTGTCCAAATGACTCCTCAGCTGGTATTTACACCCTCTCTTAAATATGAGTAACGACATGTCAAATCTGTTCACAACTTCGGAATTTCCAGTTTTTAACATCTGGCAAAATAAAAACAAATTCACAGCCTGGGCCACTGGGTGGCGCTAGGAAAGAAGTTAGGCTCTGCAGCTTTTTCTGTTTTCCCTTCACTAACCTAAACGTGGAGAGAAACAGGAACAAAGAGATAGCATCTACTGCTGCTTTTTTTTTTTTGCTTTTCTCCAAGAGAGCTTTTTTCTTGTCTTGGTAACTCTTTCTGAATCTTGCCTTGAAACTGCACTCCACACCACCTAAAAATAGCCAAGGAAACAGAAGTGAAAAATAAGACTAGAAACAAACGTGTTTTCTTGACAAGCTTTCTTGTATTCCTGAGTCATACATATATCACGCATAATTTCTTTTGCAAACCTAAGCTTTATTTTCTCCACATTTTCATTATAATTAAGGAGCCACAAATAAACGTCAAAACGAATAAGCATGGCTGTATTTCCTTTTTCTGAAATTATTCATGTAAAATGCATTCAATCAAACATTTATAAAGCAACTTCTAGTAAGAAGGCACTGTCTAGGCAGTAACAGGGATCATGAGGGAAAGATAACATGGCTTGGCCCTAAAGCGACAGGGACCTTATTCCACCTTCACTTCTTGTCTAGAATTGTGCACTAATTTATCGCTGTATGATATATTTACCTTCAAGCCCCAATTTTAAAGTGTTTGTACATCCTGTGTTAAATCTCAGAAAAGTAACTAAGATTCTAAGTTTTAAGACAGCCGTATTCTAAATTTTTGGCTTTATATACAGTCTTTGAAGGGAGGAAAACCTAACTGGAAAGAAATAGGTTGTGCTGTTTTTACAGAGTTTGCAAATATTTGTTCCCTTATAAAGAGGGAAGTGACTATACAACTTGTTATTCCTCATTCCTGCTGAAAGCAAGTCCCATACAGCTGGTGTTTTGAAAAAGAATATGCTAATAATTTCAGTGCATGAGAAACCATTTTGGGAGTTATTTTTATTTTGATTTATCCTGTTTCAAACCCTTAAAAATTATTTTATTAAAATTAAATTGGGCACTAGTTTGGTAAGCATATATATTATGGGAAATTACAAACCTCTTTTTGGGGATGAGTTACAGAGAAAAAGGAAAAAGACCAAAGTTAGGAAGTCTTGGAGGCAATTAGACTCAAACTTTTAAAAGAGATGCAGTTTGGGGCTTCTCAGTTTCAAGAGGAGACAGTGTTTGTTAAGAAGATCTCTTAGGGGTGATGGCATTGTTCTGGTTCCTGACCTGGTGGTTACATAGATGTTTGCTTTATAATATTCATTAAGCTGTGCATTTATGTTTTACACACTTTATATGCATTCTATTTCACGATAAAAAGATTTTTTTTTTCTTAAAAGATAGAGAAGACCCTTAAAATGCAAAGGAAAACTTTATTTTCTTTATTTAAAGTTTCCTGTTCACCTAAATTGAGGTTTCCTAGTAGCTAAATCAGAGAAGCTGGACTATATGAAGATGAACGGGGCATCAGGATTGGAGGAAGACTCGTTAACAACTTGCGATATGCAGATGACAGAACCTTGCTTTCTGAAAGTGAAGAGGACTTGAAGCATTTATTGATGAAGATCAAAGAGAACAACCTTCAGTAGGGATTACACCTTAACATAAAGAAAACAAAAATCATCACAACTGGACCAATAAACAACATTATGATGAATGGAGAAAGGATCGAAGTTGTCAAAGATTTCATTTTACTTGGATCCACAATCAATGCCCATGCAAGCAGCAGTCAAGAAATCAAACGACACATTGCATTGGGCAAATCTGTTACAAAAGATCTCTTTAAAGTATTAAAAAGCAGAGATGTCACTTTAGGGACTAAGGTGCACCTGACTCAAGCCATGGTGTTTTCAATTGCCTCATATGCACATGAAAGCTGGACACTTAATAAGGAAGACCAAAGAATTCATGCATTTGAATTATGCAGAATATTGAATTATGAAGAATATTGAATATACCATGGACTGCCAGAAGAACGAACACATCTGTCTTGGGAGAAGTACAACCAGAACGCTCTTTAGCAGCAAGGATGGCAAGACATTGTCTCACATATTTTGGACATGTTATCAGGAAGGATCAGTCCCTGGAGAAGGACATCATGCTTGGTAGAGAGTCAGCGAAAAAGAGGAAGACCCTCAACGAGATGAATTGACGTAGTGGCTGGAACAGTGGACTCAAGCATAAGAGCAATTGTGAGGATGGCACAGGATCGGGCAATGTTTTGTTCTGTTGTACATAGGGTTGCTATGAGTTGGAACTAACTTGGTGTTACCTAACAACAACAGTAGCTAAACTGAGCTGTCCTTAGCTTTCAAAAAAAGGTATCAGTGAGCTTCAGGCTGACATTCCTGCCCTTTTAAATTGACCTCACTGGGCTGCTGGGCAGGTAGCAGTCCCTTCATTAACCAGTTGCCATCAAGTCAACTCCAATTCATGGCAACCCCGTGCATGTCAGAGAAGAACTATGCTCCATAGGGGTTTCGGTGGTGGATGTTTCAAAGTAGATCTCCTGACCTTTCTTCATAGTCACCTCTGGATGGACTCCAGCCTCCAACCTTTTGGTTAGCAGCCAAGTGCTTAACTCTTTGTACCACCCAGGGACTCCTCTCTCTTCATTAATGGGTATCAAAAAAGAAGTATTGGTGCTTAGTTTAATCTCTTATCAAGGTTAAGAGAGTCCACCTCTGTGTGTGTGTGTGTGTGTGTGTGTGTAAAACCATAATATAAAAATCAGAGATAGTAATCCAATTGACATTTTCCTGTTTCCTGCTCCTACTTTCCCATTCATTTCGTACATCCCAGAGTTCCGAGAAGGTTAAAAACGCGAGGGGAGTGTGAAATCAGGAGACTGAGGATCACCAGGAGGCACGGCTTCTGCAGGTTTCTGCAGCTGCTGGGTCCACTGGCACAGGTGAATCTTGTGGTGGAGACCTGTGCCTGAGGGCCATGCTCATGTGCCCAAGGTTCTCAGTGATGATCTGGTAAACTGAAGCAACCAGTCAGTGTGGATTTTCCCTACCCCTCTTACCCCTCTGAAGTATGGGCCACTTCAGATGTGATGAAATCTTCTTTGTAATCCTTCCTATTGATATAAAATTCTCTGAAGATTTCACGTGTGAAAATTTGATGTGGCAGCAATACTGCTTTCTAACCCTTGAGCTAGGCCTTTTCTAACCCTTTGGCTGGGCCTTTTCAAACTGAATGATCTAGGTAGAAAACATTAAAAGATACTGGTACAAGGTTTCATGGCATTTTTTCCTGATTGGAGAATGTTCCACTTGCTACTGATAAACTAGAGAAAAGTTCACACAAGGGTCCGGGGATGAAAGAGGAAAGGAGCTTTCAAATGGAACTTGAAAAATCCATTTTTGTCTTTGAATTGTAAATTCTGACTTCTAAATCATAGTTTGGGTTTTAAAGGAGTTAAGAACTT